AAATAAAGTATTTAGGCAGAAGAATTTTGGCTGCAAGGTTTGCTTCTTACTAAATCTATGACTTGTGACTGGGTTTGTCTTGGCATGCTTCCATCACAGTGCATCTGACTGGGAGGTCATAGCTATATGAGATTACAGTGTCTGAGCTGAGGGGCAAAGAAAGCTGGCAGCTTAACTGAAGCTGTAGCTCATTGGAGGTGAGGGAGTGTATGAATCAGGTTGGCCTTCTGGCTACATGCTCGATCACACATGTTGAAATCTTCCATTCCAAGCCCTTACTTAATTCCAATTGTATATTTTATTTCTCAACAGTGGAAGGGAAATACTATAGTTGAAACATAGCCCTTTGTACCAGTGAATTTCCAACGATAAGGAATAAAATGGGGACAGTTTACAGGGTGAAAGGAGGTAGAAGCCACTGTTTTTTCCCCTGAAGAATTTGCCCCTCAGCTAGTTGGCATTACAGAGAAGAATGTTGTTTGTAACATCAGCAAAAACATCCTAATTGGCTGTTATCCCTATTAGTGATGGGCACAAAATGTACCACGAAGCAAAACAAACAAACCCCAAAACACCATGAACTGCGCCATTTCTTAATTGTTTTCAGGGTGCTCAGAAACATGTGCCTGCCAAAAACGAAATGAAATGCCAATCGATGTTGGCGAATCATATACTTAGTGATTTATGCTCTTGGAGACTTCTGGGAGTTCTAGAATGGCCCCAGTATGAGTTAGAGATGCCAAACATGCCACAAATCTTCACATGACTCACTTTCCACCATCTCAAAGTTTGGCGAAAATTGGATTTGGGATGTCTGTCCAAAGTAGGTTACCCCATGAAAGAGCACTTTCAGAAAGTTAATGGTTCGTGAATAACTATGAACCACAAACCATCACAAACTGCCATTTATGCCCATCTCTAATCCCTATATTTTTATTTTCGAAAGAAAAACATTACTGAATTCTCTACCCTAACTGTGTGTCCAGAAGGCTGAATTCTGAAACCTGAGTATTTTATGTAGTTAGAACAAGTTTCTAGGTACATCCCCATTCTCTACAGTTCTGCAGACTGAAATAAGATTCTGCACTACAAGACATGGAAATGATTCTGAAAATAAATGCTTACAGTTAAACAAAGTCCTAAAGTGGTTAGAAGGTCTCTCACAGACCATTAATGGACTCTGGGCATTGTGTTTTGCATATTTAAGCCTATGATAGACAAAGTTCCAGAAAAAGAAACACTGCAATATAAAACATCTTTGTGTTGTTGTGCCATGTGTGTAATAGAGCCTCACCACCCTTCCTGGTTCTGTAGGATTGTTCCCATGTGACCACATATTTCGTCTGTTTTCTGCACATCTCTCCTGGAGCTCAGAGTCCACAAATTAAATCTATATGCTTGTGACTTCATATAATCTTCCCCTGCCCACTTGTCAAACAGTATTTCATCTTATTGTTACATCTTTGAGTTTTTAAATCAATCTCAGTTTGTCTTTTCCTTTAAAACCCTGGAAGGCTCAAATATGATTTCTTATCTGCCGTGCCATGTTTTTTTTTAATTATTATTACATTCATGTTAATAATACACCTCCCAGGTGCCAAATTAATATCTTTTTGTCTGCCCTATATTGAAATATTTTTAAACCCACTAAGCACCCTATCCTGTGCTACTTGAGAGAGTCAGCTGAGGGGCCATGGAATGCTTCCAACTTCTCTTTGCAGGCTGAATCGTTTGTGAGTGGCTGTGGCAAGCTTCATCCTTGTTTCTGACCTGCCATTTGTGTTTCCTTAGACAGCTATATCAGATCAGAGAATTCTGTAGACTTGTCAGGAAAGGCTGTGGATTCACCAGATCTTAAACCCATTATTCTCTTGCCATGGCACAAACAAGCCTTAAAGCAGTGCCACACTGAAGCTGGCATAGTTAACTCTCTCTTATTTTTTCAGTGAGAGGGAAAATTTGCAGACAAGGATACTGATGAAAAAGGACTTCCCCACTCCTCTGTAACAGCAAGGGGGAGCTAAGAGGCCTCCAGATATGACAGTGGCTCCACTGCACACTCTTTCCCTTCTGACCATATCCAGGATTGCTCTGCCTGTGTGCCGACAGTTTGCTCTTTCTATTTTGGCTCTGGTGTTTCCTGCTACTTTAGAAGATAACTTCCTGTACTTAATATATCTGTTTGTTAGAATGGGGCCTGAAATGCAAAATTCTTAACATTCAGTGGTTCTTTCTTTTAGAAGATTCAGAGGAAGACCACTTTTAACAAGTATAACTCAAATTGAGCAGTTTTCAGAGAGGTAGCTATGCCTAGTTGGTTTCAGCAAGAAAAGCATAGCAACCTGTAATGTCAACAGCTTAATTTTAATCTGAGCCTCCTTGGATTGCCTTTAAAAAACAATTTATTGATATTTTGAAACGTGGGGCTATAATCAAAGACAAAGACAGCAAAGAAAAACATTTAAAAAGAGGCTTTCAGCTGCCCCTCTCAAGTAGTACAGCATAGGGCGCTCAGTGGATTTTAAAATATTTCAGTACTGGGCAAACAAGAAGATAATTTGGCAGCTGACAGGCGTGTTCTTAACATGAATGTTAAGCAAAACAAATATATAAAGTTGAAACTTAATTATTGGCAGAGACTTCAGTATATAATACTTTTCAAGTAGCTTGTTTGGGTTGCAGCCCATTTCTTCAGACACACCATTCACTGCACCTGGTAACAGAAATACTAGCTAGGCAATAGCATGCTGATTACATTGCTGTCATATCTTCACATCAGAGTGAGAATTGTCTGACATTTTTATAGAGAAGCTGTGCTCCTAAATAAAATACAGCAAGCCTTATGATTCTGAAAAGCTATTTTCCTATTTTCATGTGAGAAGATAAACCCTGAGTTTACTTCTAAGCACAATTCTTATTTATACAATATCGTTTGGCTAGACATGGAAGCAAGGACAGGAGTCTCTATTTAATTAGGAACTTCTTGGTGGCATATGCTCAGAATCCCAGGTATGCAGAAGTGGGTGAGTTCAGAATCCAGTGTAAGCATGTGTTCAATTGAGAACCAAAGCTACAGTATATGAGACATTAGTCATACAGTATGTCTAAACAAGTATGCCTAACTTGGCCAGTTTTATCTTGGAGGAAAAATCCACTGTATGTCCTCTACAGTCAAGGCTTTACGCTGGATTACAGTGGTGCCTCAACTTACGAAGGTAAGACCATTTCGTACGACCAGCTCCGGCCGCAAAATTTTGCTTCAACTTGCAGCCAGAGTTTTGAGTTGCAAACAAAAGAGGCAGGGGGGAAAGGCGGGGAATTCAAATTAGAGGGCTATCCATTAGACGGTGAAGAGCTTCTTTGCAGCTCTTTCGCCCCAATGGTTAGTGTGTGCACGTTTGCAGAGAGGCTCGGAACTGCCTGGTGCTGCTTTCTGCTTCTGGGTGAGTACATTTACAGGGTTTTGCAGGGTGGGTTTGGATTTTGGGGGGGTTATGTTTCTGTGCTGTGATTTTTTGTTGTCTTTTGGTGTGTGTTTTTCCCCAGCCCCCTCACTTTCCAATGGGCCTGGCTGTGTGTATGAGGGTGTTTTTGATTTTTTTTTATTTTATTTTTTTGCAGTCCCATGGTGTTCTGATGGGGCTGGCTGTGTGTGTGTGGTTCCAATATTTTTTTCCCCCCAGCCCCATCGCATTAGTGGTTTGTTTGTGGGTTTTTTTGGGTGATTTTTGGGGGGGTGTTCTGGGATGGATTACTCGCGTTCCAATGCATTCCTATGGGAAATGGTGCTTCGATTTACAACCATTTTGAGTTACGCCCATCTTCTGGAACGGATTATGGTTGTAAGTCGAGGCACCACTGCACTTCAAAAAACCATCCGCTCTTGCATACAAGTGTTGTTTACTGATAAGCATTTTAGTAATGCTAATCGGTTCTTCATTCTTCTCAGAAACAGTCCAGTGGTGCTTCTGGAGTAAAGCCATGGAATAACTGCTGTTTTCTGCAAATAGTCATAGCTGTTTGGGGGTAAATGGCAAGCAGGTAGTAGAGTATTTTTCACCCGAGGAGAAAACCAGTGCAGGGTCCCATGGCTGCTATTTCTCCAAAATAAATGTATTCAGGTTAAGTATATTTGTATTTTGGCTCTGAGACAGCAAGGGATATGATTGGGAATCACTCTAAATGTTTAGTTTATTCAGAGAAATAATTCTAGTGGTGCCTCTAGGCCAGTGGTACCTTATGCTGCTAAAGGAATTGTATAGCTCTGCGTGTTTTCCCTCTTTAATAGACTTTTCTGTAGTAAGAAAAGGCAGAAGATACTGGAAAAACACCAAGAAAGAGGATTAAAGTAGAAAACAATGATGTTTGGTCCCCCAACCCCCTCCCCTTTCCACTTCACCCTGTGATATTCCATGACTAAGGCAGGGTGGAAACATACTAAATGAGAACTTTCAGCTTAGCCATTGAACCACCTGATTGTATAAAAAAGGCCATGGGGATGCAAATTAATTCTGTTGTGAAGGGTCTTAGGCTGGTACACCTTGGGCTTTGTCTGCTGGGTAAGTGGTGCAGAGCAGCAGCTTTATTGCTTTTATGCCAAGGCCCTTTTGAAGCTCCTTCTACAATCAGTGGAGTAGGGATTTTCCCAATCACCCTGTTTGATGAATGCTTGCCAATGGAAAGCAACAGCACTACAAAGGAAGTACAGTAAATATTTTAATAAGCACTAAAATATACACAGGGACATGGTGGCACTGTGGGTTAAGCCACAGAAGCCTCTGTGCTGCAAGATCAAAACACCAGCGCTTCAAACCCACACATCAGAGTGAGCTCCCGTCGCTTGCCCTAGCTCCTGCCAACCTAGCAGTTTGAAATGCGAGAAAAAATAGGTACCACCATGGTGGGAAGGTAATGGCATTCTGTGTCTAGTTGCGCTGGCCACGGAAACTGTCTTTGGACAAATGCTGGCTCTACGTCCTGAAAATGGGAATGAGCACCACCCCTAGAGTCGGACACAACTGCACTAAATGTCAAGGGCAACTTTTACCTTTACCTAAAATATACACTCTCACATTTTATAGTAGATTATCCATGGTATATTGAAGAAGCCATTGTAGAGTACTTTTCCTTCTAATGAATAGAAAGCAAAACAATTACTTTATGTTTTGACTTTCCAGTAGCTTAAATATGCCCATTAATTAGAATTAATGAGGGAAATACATGTTGACATAAGAGAATACAATCTTCATTATTCTGTCTGCCCACTTCACCTTTGTACATCATTCAAGATTATTGCTTTCTGCCTCTGAAACAGCTTTATATAGAATGCCTCTAATCTAGAAACAGAGCAGAGATTTTAGATTGTGTGAGGTTTCCGAAGAATCCTATTCTGCTCTTTATGGCTTTGAGTGTCACACCATAGCTACTCCTTCTTTGTGCATGGGCATGAATGGAAACAGTACTTGCAATACTGATAACAAGCTCTTATAGTGTACTCTAACAGGTCCATAAGAAAGGAGCTCACCTTAGAAAGAACAACACTCAGCATGGGCTGCTGTGTTTCAACCGAGAGAGGCCTATAGGCCAGTATGGTTTCTTCCTCTAGTTTATCCTGATGATCAACTAATTTAGTAGCAAATTCTGTTTTCCCAGTGCTTGCAGAATATCATCAAGGAGTGAGGGTCCAAAGTCCAGTTTGAAGGAAAGGAAAGGATCCGATGGATCAGGCAGAGGCTTGCCATGCCAGGAGGTGGTGTCAGCTGGGTCCCAATTTAAAGCTTGGTTCTTGCAAAATAGGTCTGGTGGTGTTTGAGTAGCCTTGTGCAATTGATGTGAAGCATTTGGAAAAGAGAGTTCTGGAGATGGAGAATCTGTGTGGTCTATTATATTGGGGCAGCTGGTACTGTCCAGGTATAGCCGAGGCGGTTTTGGAGGTGGCTTGGCAGCAAGGTTTTGCTCACTCTGACATGATAGATAGTCTGACTTCCCTTTCAGATCTCTTAGGAGCTCCTTTTTGTGGTACTGTCCACTGGTGTCTAGTGTTTGGCTGTTGTGATTCAGGATAATGACTTGACTGCCCAGTTTCTTATTCCTCCTGAATGAGAGACGCTTGAAGAAACCTGGAGATCTGATGGAGCCTCTCCGCCAAGTGTCCATGCTGAAGGAAGCAGTAAAAGGCAGGTGTTTAACAGCACAGCAAAAAGCCTTAGGCACAAGCCAAACTCAGGCTCTGTGGGTCACCTTCTTTCTTCTTATTCCTGGAAAATGAACCAAAGAAAGCAACAAGCTGGGTCCCCAAAAAAGACATTTATAGCAATCGCCCACATTATAGAAGCCAGTAAGTTAGAAGGTTAAACTAAGAATGGGTTTTATGGCACTCCTTCTAAGTCAGTAAGTACAGTTAGAGCACAGAGTGCTGTCCTCTGAAGATGCCGGCCACAGAGACTGGCGAAACGTTAGGAAGAACAACCTTCAGAACACGGCCAAAGAGCCCGAAAAACCCACAAGAACCACAATTAGTAAAGTTACCTGAGCAAACAAAATTATGAATTTATGCTATTCTGTATTGTTTCATAAACAAAACATGCAGTGAAGACAACACTGGGTACATGTAGCAGTAGCTCTCAGTGTCTACAGGAAAAACCTGGTGCAAAAATCAGTTTTGAGTATGAATATTGAAGCCATTTATAACTTTTCAAATGTAATTATTGCTCTTTTTTTCTGCAGCCATTTTTACCTGCTTCAGACTGTCTTCCCAACCACTTATCCTTCTCAGAACACTTTTTAGCTGTTCTACTGGCTTCTACGTTCTCTCCTCTGTAGTCCTCATACACCATCTCTTTCACAATCCACATCAGTCTCTTCCTCTCTTGCTTTCCACCTCATGTACTCCTATTTTTCCCTATCCTGCCTTCACTCCTCATTTGCTACTCTTCCATCTCATCTTCTCTTTTGCCTTGTCTGCCTAATGCAGTTGTAAGCAATGGCTTGGCAATTTGAAAGTAGTATAGGGCAGATTTACTACTTCATTGGGACTTGTCTGTGGCCTACCATCTGTAGGTGGCCCATCCCAATTTGGCCTTTGGGTGACTTTGCATCTTTATTAAACAGACAAATTGCGGTGTCTGACTTCCAAAGCAAAGCTAAATGAAAGGCATGGGAAGTAGGTATGTCGTTGTGTGAACCATACCCAGATTTTGGAGCATAATATACTCTCAATTTTGAAAAATGTTCCATATTCCACCATTAAAAGGTAAATATTGTTGCTTAGTAACGAAAAGATGCCCTTGAAAGATTTGTAAATATGCAGTTCAGCATTGAGAAGAACGAAATTTAGAATTACTACTTACTGTGAGATGAAGCAACAGAGAAGGCAGCCGAGTGGAGAGTTGTGAAGGAAATGTATCCGATACAATGCAAGCACACCTGTGTCAGGGGTTTCCTGCCTTGGGATTGGTTAAGTATCCATCCACTATATTTTTTAAGCTTTTCTTCCTCTAGAACACATTTCTTTCTGTGTTGCTCTTTACGCTTCTCACTCAACCATTCGTATGTTTTGCAGGCAGCAGTTTCTTTGTGTGTGTTCTGTGCCACACCCTTGCTGACTCAGTCACATCAGAAACTAGGATGTACACTATTAGTTAATAACCAAAGTTGCAGGAAGTAGGTGTGTTGAACTGCCACACCAGCCAACCTGTGCTGCCTCAACCAGATTCAAGGCTTGAGTGGAGCACCTGAACGACTATCATTGATCGCTTTCTTCAATATGGTTGCTGGAGGAAGGGGCAATATAATAATAGCACCCAGTCAGGTTCAGCCCTGTCTGCCTAGCTCCAAGATCAAGGGACCCTAATTCTATCTATCATAGCAAATTGAATTTTCATTCCTAATGGGCCAGTTGTCAGAAGGGCCAGGCGATGAGACATAGAATTTCTGACTCATGTATAGGAATATGACAAATGATTAGAGAAACTGGTGGGGAAAGAGCCCTATCATTGGGGCTGTGTTTATGTTGAACCTTGTGGCCGATTGTCCACTGGACCTTGGGTCCTCTTCTTTATAGTATTGAAAGGATAGAGAGATTTAGGATTATACTCAACAACAGCATCTTCAGCTGCTGCTCTGAACATTCTCAAAGCTTCTGGGCATCTGCTTGTTTTTAAAATCAGGCTTGCCTTTTTACCTATAAAATGTCAGTCTAGTTCTTGACACAGTTAATTCTTGCATCCTTTTCTCCATTTCTAATATACATCTGTTATAATAATGAATGAAAATCAAGCATGAGCAAGAAGGAGGGTTTCTTTTTTATAGTAATGGAATTAGACCAAGGAGACAAATTCTGACTCGGCTATGAAGCACATTGGGCGTTACGCTCAGCCTAAGCAACTGCTGTAAAAATGAAGTACGTGTGCTAGATCTCAGGCATACACCAACTTAAATTCCTTGAGATTAGTGTGGGATAAAAATGTAAATAGTAATTAAATTTCTTGTTACTACAGTATGTAAAGATGTAAGTGATGATACGGTTTCTTGTTTGCTGCAGGATAATGATATTGTGTGTTGCCTTCATGTTAACATAAGAGCATTAGGTCACTTTTATTTAGCACACACAAAACACCTATTGCACTTATTAGTTCAGAAAAGGCTGTAGTATCACAATCAATAAACTATGATTTTATTTGAAATATTTTTACTCTGCCTTTCTCCTTAAAAAGTACTGAAGGCAGCTTATATTATTTTAAAAGGCAATATTGAAAGCTAAAAACAGTAAGTTATTTTAATATTTAAAAAGAAATAAATAATACATATTTAAGCCAGTCACTAAAGGAAAGCCTGCCTAAAGAGAAAATCTTTGCCTGCTTGCAGAAGGAGAGCCTGGCCTCCTGTAGCAAGGAGTTCCAGAATCTGGGAGCAGTGACAGAGAAGGCCCTCTCCTATGTCCCCACCTGTGAGGGTGGTAGGACCAAGAGGAAAGCCTCTCCTGATGGTCTTAACACCCAGGCATACTCATAAATGGAGAGCAGTCTTTGAGATATCTTGGCCCAAGCCATTTAGAGATTTATAGGTTAAAAACAGCACTTTGAATTATCCGTAAAAATTGATTGGCAGCCAGTGGGGCAGCTGTAAATGGGGGGAGGGGTTAGGTGGTCCCTGTAATCAGTCTGAGTTAACAATCTGGCTACAGTGTTTTAGACCCAGTAATATTTCCCAACCCTTTCCAAAGCCAGTCTCACATGGAGTACATTATGGTAATCCAGCCAGGATATAACTAAGGCCTGTGTCACTGTGGCCAAATCAGACATATCCAGGAATGGGTGCAGCTGGCACACTCATTTTAATTTAGCAGAGACACTCCTGACCATCACTGACACCTGGGCATCCAGGAGCACACCCAAGTTGCATTTCGAAGAGAGTGTAATCTCATCCAGCACAGAGTTGGATAGCTATTCTCTGATCTGCCTTTTGACAGACCAGGAGCACCTCTGTTTTGTCTGGATTACATTTCAGTTTATTCACCCTCATCCAGTCCGTTACTGATACCAGACAATGATCTAGAACTGAAACAGCTTCCTCATATTTGGTGGAAAGGAGAAATAGAGTTGGTTTTCATCCACATATTGTTCACACAAGCCCCAAACTCCAGAGAACCTCTCCCAGTGGTTTCATGTGAATGTTAAATAGCATGGGAGATGAAACAGAATACGGGGAGATCTAAGGAGGGCTTTTTCAACAATGGTCTTACTAGTGCCTCCTTTAAGATACTAAGATCCTACCCTAGTACAAGAAGGCATTCATTGCTCTTCATACCCACTCGGCCAGTCCCTCTCAGGCAGCTTTTTTAAGCCAGGAAGGGCAAGGGTCCAGAAGACAAGTGGTAATCTTCACCTCTCCAAGGGTCCTGTTCACATCAGGTTGCAAAAACAGAAACTTATCCATTAACACAGGACAAGCAGGTGCCAAAATTACGTTCACAAGAGCTGTATCAACTACAGCATCCAAGTCAGAACAAATCCAAGAGATTTTGCCAGCAAAGTGTCGTTTAGAGTCTTCACTGTGGGTTGCTGAGTGCACAACATCTTGTTCTTTTGGGAAACACAATGACCAAAATCCTGTAAATTATTTCTGTGGAAGAATGAAGACATCATCAGCAGGAGATTTTTTGGTAATTAAAAATATCCTCTCTTCTCATGGCCTGTCCAACTTGCAGTATTCTTTGCCATGAGGTGGAAGGAGTAAGTCTTTAATTATCATAAGTCTCCCTGTGGTGTGAGGCATCGCCCTTTCCCAGGTGTACTGTGCTACTTTGCTTGAAGGCTCAGGCATATCAAGGTATGCAAAGCTGGATATCCAATAGAAAAATTATGATCAATATTTTGGAAAATGTGTGTTCTGTTACTTGGCTGTCTCAATTATATTATTCAGTTCTCTCTGTTCTCTATCACTTACCTTGGCCCATCTGCCAGTTAAGTTTTGCTTTCTTGTTTTCAGTGACCTCAGAAATCTTGAAAAGTCTTATCAGGCATGAAAATATATAATTGCCAACATAAAAATATTTTCCATAAAAAGATTTTTGATCTATTTTGCTCATCATAGTTTCAGGAAACAAATATGTTTTTAACAAACTCCTATTTTTCTCCAAAGTATCCTTTAAAATGTAAGAGTCTAAAATAATTTATTTTGATTGCTTCGGTAAAAATGTGATTGCTTGAAAAACATGGGTTTTGGGCTGTTCTGTGCCAGTTGATTAAATAAATAAATAATGTCCATTGAAAACCTTTTCAATGAACAGTTAAGAAATGTAACATTGACGGTTATGTCAACAGTACATAGCACAGTTCTCATATTGCTGCTTAAGGGAACAATAGCTACATTCCCACATTCCGTGTGACAGTTATTCTGCTTTTCTTATAGGAGAAATTTCAACAATTATTAAGCCTTTGAACTCAAAGAGATGTCAAAAAGAGAATATGAAGCAGCTTACCATGCTGTGGATCAAATATATTGCTAGTCAACAACTGTTAGTAATACAGTGGTGCCGCGCTTAACGAGTGCCTCGTTTAACGATGAATTCGCATAACGATGTGTTTTTTTTTAGAAAATAATATGCCCCGTATAACGATGTTTCCTATGGGAGATTTTCGCTTAGCGAAGTTTGGGACCATGCTTTGCATAACGAATGCGATTTTAGGTCCCCTGCTTCACTTAACGATGTTTCTTTTTTCAATTTAAAAAGTGTCTTAGAAGGGTCAAAACGGTTCTAAATGCTTGGATTCGTTAGAGGACCCCCTAGGTCGTGTGCAAACCTGATTTGGCTTTGATCTGACTTTTCGTTAATTTATGGTGAATTTTTTTTTCAGCCCATAGGAACCAGTGGAGCTGTCAAAATCTGATAGCTCCGTTGGTTCCTATGGGCCGAAAAAAATTCACCATAAATTAACGAAAAGTCAGATCAAAGCCAAATCAGGTTTGCACACAACTTAGGGGGTCCTCTAACGAATCCAAGCATTTAGAACAGTTGCTGAGTCTTCGTTAATTTTTTGTGAATTTTTTCTTCCCCCATAGGAACCAATGGAGCTGTCAGATTTTGACAGCTGTCAAAAGTTGGGGGGGGAAAATTCACCATAAATTAATGAAAAGTCAGATCAAAGCCAAATTAACTTTTGCATCTGTTTTAGAGGGTGCAGAAGCTAATCCAAGCATTTAAAACCATTTTTGACCCTTTTATGACACACTTAAATTTGCAAAAATTGACTTCGCAAAGCCATTGAAATGCATCGAGTCAGCTTCAATACATTCCAATGGAGGAAACATTGTATCGTTTAACGATGTTTCCTATGGGTTTTTTCGCTTAAGGACGGCAATCCGTGCCTATTGGAACGGATTAACTGGTTTCCAATGCATTCCTATGGGAAATGGTGTTTCACATAACGATGTTTCACATAACGTTTTTTTAACCAATTAAAATCGTTATGCGAGGCACCACTGTATATATCAGCCACCTTGATTCTGCGTTTCTATACACTGCTGTGAACAGCACTGTTTCCTTGAACTATTGTGGCAGGTAGCATTCTCTCTCTCTAAACAGTGCTACAATGTTTGAAAAACTAGCAAAGATTTTTTTAATGTTGTCATTTCTTTTCTTTAGGATTCAGTAGTTTCTGAACGGGATTATGAAAGCCTTGTAATGATGCGGATGCGCCAGGCTGCAGAGAGACAGAAGCTGATTGAGCAAATGCAACGGGAAGATGAGGAAGAGTCATGCACGTAGTATGAGAAAAACATTATATGATACTTTTACATAAACTTATTAAGTCAATAAATGTCTTTTTTTCAACGCAGCTGTAGTTTTCTTGAAGAAGTAAACTGGTCATCCTGATCAAGAATGTTTATGTAATAGAAGCTTGCTTCCATAATATTCTTGTACTGTTCATCAGGGCTTAAAACCTTATGCTGCCTTTACCAGTCCCTCCTCCTGTTTGCACTCAGGGACCATGCAGTTTGCCGAGGCCTGCACAGCTAGCAGGATGCATAGCCTTAGCAGCCAGACATGATCTTTGTGATCTCAGCTGACCCTTCTCCCTGCAACACAATGGGGATTCAAACTCTTCACTGATGTGCCAATCCACTGAACAGCTCATCCCAGTCTGCCCAACCATATTTCAGTTCCAAGCGAAGGAAATACAGTGGTGCCTCGCAGGAGTGCCCTGTAGAGCGATGAATTCGCTCTATGAGGACGTTTTTTCGATCGCTAATGCGATCGCAGAGCGATGGCCTCTATGGCTGAAAATCGCAGAGCGAAGGTCGGTAAGCGAACCGCTTACCGACCTTCGCTTTGCAACCCGCTGATCAGCTGTTCGGCGGGTCCAAAATGGCCGCCGGAAGCCCCAAAATGGCCGCGCCCAGCGTTTTCGCGCCCTTGTTAAGCGAGGGGAGGGCGCGAAAATGGCTGCCAGCCATAGGGAAGCATCGCTGTACGGTGAGTAAATCAGCCGATTGGAACGCATTAAACTAAGTTTAATGCATTCCAATGGCTTTTGTCTTTCCGTACTGCGATGTTTCACACAGCGAGAGTTAATCCGGAACGGATTAACCTCGCTGTGTGAGGCACCACTGTAGTTGGGCATTTCTGCTTCAGCATTAAATCAATAGAATGTGAAGTCACCAAACCATTTCTACTTCTGCATTAACAGAATCTGAAATTGCCATGTCTACACATCTTCCTGAAGGAGGAAAGGACTAAACTAGGACATAGTGCCACTCTATTTATTTATTTATTAGTCTTCTACCCTGCCCATCTAGACCAAAGGTCTACTCTGGGCGGCAATATTATGTAGCAATATAGGAATTGTTTAGATTTCCTGTAACTTTCATAATAGTTTTCAGGATTTTGCTGAAGACTAAATGTTTATCCACCACGACACTGAAGGAATAAAATGTATTTACATTTGAGTCTGACTGAAAACAAAACATTATCCAGGGACAACACCAAGCCTGTTTTTGTGAATTCTTTATTATTCTACTGGTTAGTTTAGGAATGGCTGCTGTTTACACAGTTCAAATTAATCCCAGCAATGAAAAGTTCACTGGTACAATTACAAAATTGTTGTTGACATATTTACAATATATTCTATCCCTAGTTTGCAATTTACACAGCTATAGTTAAAAAGTCACATATGCCACCTTAGGATTTGACTCATATTATTTAAATTTTGAATGAGAATACCTCAGCTTTTAAAAATACGTATTGTATTCAATCGTGACCAACTTGTTCTGTGGCAAATTTTTCCTGTCCTTATCAAAGTAAGAACTACCTTATAATGGATTTTCTTTATCTGCGACAATTTATCCCAAGGTTTTTAAGTACGTACATCATAATTTTAATGCCAGGTTCCCATTACTCAACAGCAACAAATTAAGAGAACACTTCACCACTGGCAGTTCAGACTGGTTTTCAAATTAATAATGAAAAATACCTTTTTTCCAACCTCTGAAATGAAACTGGGCCACTTTTCCCTAATTATCTTTGTAGTGCTGGCGATGTTCATAATACAGAGTTTTGATTAGGCTGTACTTCATAATGCCTGAAAATGAACAACACATTGACTGTATATGTGGATAGTATAAGGCCTTATGCTAGGTGATTGATTTACAGTGTGTCTTGGGCAGGCAGAAAAGCTGAGTTGTTTATACTTTCTTTGTGAAGACACCACACGAGGGTCTGCCCCACTCCTGTCATGCTGATCACTCGATAGCCGCATTTCTCCAGCTTGTCCAGGACAATCCGAGGAGCATCATGCACATAGTATTCCCAGCTGTTGTAAAGATGACACAGAAACGGTGAAGAAAAGGACAGTTTTCAGATGACTTCTAATGATTTACGCCTACACTGATAGAAAAGCCCACTGAGTAAGCTTGTTCAATGGCTAACAATGAGACAGTTATTGAGAGAAGACACCAGTAAATAGCCTGGAGAAGGGCATTTAGCAATACAAATCAGACATATAACTTTGTGTTTAAAATAAGCAGTCCTATTTTAATAATGCCCCTCCTATTCTCTGTCTTATGGATGGAGAACATATGGCTTCCAGATGTTTACAATTTCCATTATCCCACACCACTGGCTATACTGGTTAGGGCTGATGGGAGCTGCAGTCAAACTACATGTTCCCTGTCCCTGCTCTGACTGCTTTATGTTAGATGACAGACATTACCTTGTCAATTGTGGGAAGTGTTCATATAAACCATAGTTAAACTGTTAGCTAGTCTTTCCCATAGAAAAAAGAGATAATATGAATGTTCTTATTCTACTGTTCCACAAGAAGTATCAGCAGTGCCATTACACATCTATGACTGAAAAATTGATTTTTTGCCTGTTATGTTGGAGAAAGGATCCATTCAGACTACCCATAGTATCTGCAGTCCTTATAAGCTCACTTTAGGCATCAAATTTTCCCATTTCATGTCAGGCCAACGCCAATTAGAAATTTAAAAAGAATTCCATTTGGATGTGGAATGTTCAGGGTAGATTTTTCTTTTTCAAACTAAAGATCAAGTGGCAGTATGTACAGTGTACCCATTAGACAATGTGAAAATTCAACTTCATTAAGTACAAGGCCTGCAGTTTAAGAATCTATGCTAAGAAGATTAACACCAGTGCAAATCTACTCTCCCCTGGTTCTGCTATCTCCTTTGTATAAGCTAAACAACAATAATGCCCCAGAAACATTTTAGTACTGCTGCTGTCCTTGCTATACATGTGGCATAAATAAACAGGACTACAAACAACACCTACCACAACTCCTGAATATTGAGTATGGCAGCAGGAAGCTAGTCAGAAACATCTCGTCGTCATTTAGTCGTGTCCGACTCTTCGTGACCTAGCAAATTGCCTGTCCCTACTGTTTACATTGTGTTAGAGGAGTTGTATAAGCCAAGATACGAATCAGAAGCATTTTCATTTGCTTTCTTACTATTTAGCTAATTACATTTATATTATGCCTTTTTGCCATTTCACTCAGACTTGTTTATGTTTATAAATATTAAGCATTTTCTAAAATATCTAACAAAATAATTAAATACTATCAGAGTATTGGTAGGACAAACTTCTTGGTTCGGACCAGCATTTGATAGTTATTTTTTGAACTTCAGTTCCCAGAATCACTCTCTCAAATACTTGAGATTTTCACGCTTACTCTGTAAAAGTTAAGCTTTAAGATGAACTGAAATCATTTTACTGAAAGAAAATATTAGGTGCAGCTGGCTATTTTACTAGTTTTTAATACAGACACACATGGCTATACACTATTATTTGGAATAGTAATTTAACATAGAAACCTTGTTAAACATACATTTGTTACTTGAAGGTTATAACACAGAAATGATACCTATCCTTAGGTATGGCTCAGTTCCTGCCTTGATATTTTGTAAACTTGCTTTTGTTGTTTTGATCTCTGAACTGATCCTCTTGGAATGCAGCATTTCACACCCACAAGAAAAGGGCAGAGTGAAGTGTTACATTCCAGGGATGTGATTTTGTTGTCATTTGCTTCCTCCTCCTCTAGTCCAACTGTAAAAGCAAAACAGAGGCTACACATCTCACTACAGTGATCTTTTTAAAAGGAAACCATCTATCACTCTACTTTGTCACAGCAAATCAACTAATAAAGACCTGAAATATTCAAAGTTGCATGAATTAGAGACAAATACAAAAGCTGATTTTTTTTAACCAGCAAACCTCAGAGTATTTTCTCAGGTGGCAATTCCCTTGCATGCTAGAAAGGGTGGCCACACACACATTGCCAGGAAGATATATTTCCATAAGATGCCCACATAATAAGATAAAAGTCTGTTTACATGCAAATAATTTTGATAGAAATACATCCCGCCACATGGTGGTGCTGCGGGTTAAACTGCAGCAGCCTCTGTACTGCAAGGTCGGAAGATCAGCAGTCGTAACATCGGATCCACACGACGGAGTGAGCGCCCGTCACTTGTCCCAGCTCCTGTCAACCTAGCAGTTGAAAGCATGTCAAAATGTGAGTAGATAAATAGGTACCACCTTCATGGGATGGTAATGGTGTTCCGTGTCCAGTCACGCTGGCCACGTGACCACGGAAACTGTCTTCGGACAAACACTGGCTCTACGGCATGGAAACGGGAATGAGCACTGCACCCGAGAGTTGGACACAACTAGACTAAATGTCAAGGTGAACCTTTACCTTTACCTACAGTATGTAATACCATGTCCAGCCAACGTTAAGGGTCTGCTGTTGATGGTGAACACAAGAAGCATCTTCACGGCCCTTGCTGTGACTTCTTTTGATTTTTTATCTTTAAATTATACTTGGATTAGGCACCCTTTCAAATGTCCTTCAAATGCAGAATGCTCTGAAAAGTGGTCATATGACCTCTCTGAAGTTGCTTTACACCTGCTGAATATGAGCAAGAACCTGAAAGCTATATGGATAGCTGATGCACCACAAAGCATTTGAAATATGACAGTTAATCAGGACTTGACAATGCAAATACCATAGTTGCCTGCCTGGAAAGGAGTCCTATGGAATTGAGTGGGAAGTGCTTTGAGGGAAATATTACAAGGTTGAGTTGCTGGTGCAATATTCAAGACAAGCCAGTGCTTGATCTCTCAAGATTGCTCGCTGTGAAATCAAGAACTGGGACATTGAGAATGCAAATAACAAAAAACAAGCAAACAAAAAACTTTGTGTAATGAAGAGTATATCATTGTTTTGTCATCTGATTCTCAATCCTGAAGACAAAAAATACTTTGAAGTTGGTTTCTCAGTCACTCTTAGTTCTTGTGCCTGCAAAATAAAAGTTTACAGGAATGTTTACATTGCAGTCTCCTTACCAATGTATACAACCTCCTTTTTCCTGGACTATACATTCAAAATAGGCTGGTTTTCTCATCCATTTCCTGTTATTTCTCTTGGCTCCTGTACAGTGCACCTGAATCTGTAAATTGAACTTCTTCCAAACATCCTTTGTTTTACACAGAATATGGAAGTTTTGCCTGTAGCATTACAGGAGGTTGCACTAGTTTGATATTGCAGTTGTCCAGTGAGAAAATATATGTGTATTAATAAGCCACCAGGTAGTTCATTGGCACTACACTTACAAAACTGAGAGGATCAGAGAGTTATCATGGCACAAAATATAATGGAATTCTGGAGAGAAATAATGAGAGAGAACATAAAGCTCCGTGTACGTGTGTGTAAAAAAACCTATGGAAATACTTACAAATGGTTTCCCAGCATGTTTCTTTTGGTGGCCCCTAAGTAGTGCATCAAGTTTGGATCAGAGTGCTCATCCCCAACCATCGTGGGCCCAACTTCCTGCAGAGAAAAAGGTCACTTTCCATTACCAAACATCTCGGAAGCACCAGGGCAGTCCTTCATTCTATCTAGCAAGAGATACCTGTTGGCACAACCTCTCTCCAGCTTCGGGTCGTTCTGTTCTCCTACCTTAAAATAAGAGAACACCTTGCCCGGGGCAGGGAGTGGAATCATAGAGTGCCCACTTTATTGTCTCGGTGCCACAACAGCTTTCAATGTTTGACCTTATGTCTGTATCATTGCTGCTTCTGCTATTACTGTATTTTGAGCAAGTTTATAGGATTGTTTTTGCTTTGGTTTAGTTGGTAGCAAATTTTTGCTCATTAATTTTTGTTTTAGTAGGACATCTGTAGTATTTAGTGGGACATCTGGTATTTTATAGTAGATAAATTATAATTTCTTATCAGAGTTGTTCGAATGACTTGTTAACTTTATTGAGAGTTACTTTATGATTGAAATATGACCTACCCACCAAAATAAGCCCCAGTTAAGTGAAACCCTGCCCTCCACCATTGTGCAGCCGCCAGAAAAAGATGAGACAACTGTATTTGAATAAATGGAGATTGTTGTACATGAAAAATAAAATAAAAACATCAGCTGAAAATAGGCCCTAATGCTGTAGGCAGGCTATATGTGCCTCAATTAAAGCAAAATAAAACTAACGATGGAAAAGTTCAGGAGAGCATTCAAACAGAATAATTCTAGCTTACCTGCTTCAAGTATCATTTGGCTCCCTCTACCGGTTGAATGTAAGACACTCAAACATATGTTATCTTATAGACAGATATTAAACATGAATCTAGGTCCGTGGTTTCCAACCTTGGGTTCCCACAGGTTCTTGGACTGCAACTCCCAGAAAGCCTGGCCAGCACAGCTAGTAGTGACGGCTTTGGGAAATTTTAGTCAAAGAACATTTGGGGACCCAAGGCTTCAAACTCGAACTACTGTTCTATTAAACCAATCTTCCCCAACCTGGTGGTACATGCCAAATACTACTTCCAGCCAGCTTGAGTGAGGAGAAAAAATGGTAAAATATCAGAAGCTGAAGTTTAAGTACGTTAGATGTGCTTAAGAAAACAAACTGAATCAGCCATAGTTGCCACTAGGATTAATAACCATGTTGCATATCTTGTTAATATCTTGTTATATAGCTCTGCCTGCCCAACAGGAGTGACGTTACAGTTTTGGGATGCTTGGACCTTTGTGTCATTATGTGCAAGTTTTTGTACTCCAAAATTGTAAAAAGAAATGCTTTTTATGGGAGAGGGGGTGGAGGTGAGGGCATAATACCATCTGTCATCCCCTTTACAAGAAACTCTCTGTGTAGTAGCCTTGTGCCCCCTTTTACACACCTGCAAATCCTTCACTATAGCATCCTAAGGCACCACTTCTAAATGGTAAATGTAAAAAAAAATGTAATAAAACTGTAGCTATGAGTCATCAAATTGATTCTGGCTTATGGTGACTTTACAGGATTTCCTAGATACAACTCAAAAGTGGTCTACCCTGTTTCCCCAAAAATAAGACTTAACTTGAAAATAAGCCCTGCCCTCCACCATTGTGCAGCAAACAGAAGATGAGACGACTGTATTTGAATAAATGTAGATTGTTGTACATGAAAAAAATAATAAAACAACCTCTGAAAATAAGCCCTAATGGTTTTGAGCAAAAACTAATATAAGACCCTGTCTTATTTTCAGGGAAACACGGTACTAGTCCCTCCTTCTAGTGTTACTCTGGGACTATTTACTGTGCCCAACACTGCAAAAGTACCAAGACACTTAACCACATGAGCCACACACACACACCAGGTAATTTCAGCTCATTCCCTCCCAGAAGGCACAGTGGGGATGCAAACTCCCACCTGAACCTGGCCTCCAGAGTTCAAGATGCTTGCCAAAGAGTAAAAGACCTGGAATGGCTACCTCTCTCTCATGAATAATAGCAACGCTTCAGTACATAAGGAATCACCGAGTGACTTGCTTTTGCTTCAAGAAACAAGGAGAAAAAATAGTCTTTTTTCTGTAACTGCCATATCTAACTTCAGATGCTTCTGCAAAAGGTTCTTCTTGTTCTGTCACATGGCATCCACACAAGTTTATGGATAGACGATGCATTCTATTTGTAACATTCTTGTTTCGCTCACCATTTCTTTCTCAATTCATCTTTCCAGTGAAAAACTTAAGCAGGGGATGTCAAAATAGCTATACAACAACCAGAATCCTATAGATGATTTATATTTGCAGAAGGGAAATCATGTAAGTCTCAGTGGCAAATTGCTACTCATTAACAAGGTGCTGGGTACGTGCGTAATCGAGTGCACATCCAGGAATGCAACCAGCAGTCTTTAATGAGCAACAATGTACTGCCCAAATTTAAATGACTTCCCTCACACAAGCATAAATATCCCATATAGGATTCTAGACAGTAACATTCAATCAAAAATTCAACCCTCAATCTAGAAACAAACTGAGAAACAAGACGAATCTGCCAAAGCCTCTAAATCTATACAGTACTACCTGCAGCAAAATACTGAAAAAGCACTGCAGAGTCAAATTCAAGTCAAGGTAATGTACTGCCCAAATTTACATGACTTCCCTCACACAAGTATAAATCTCCCATATAGGATTCTAGACAGGAACTTTCAATCGATAGTACTATAAACCCTCAATCTAGAAACACACTGAGAAACAAGACAAATCTGCCAAAGCCTCTAAATCTATACAGTACTACCTGCAGCAAAATACTGAAAAAGCACTGCAGAGTCAAATTCAAGTCAAAGATAATTTAAGGTCCTCAAACTGTGCCAAGATCATTTGCACCAACACAGAACTAAGCTTTCCTTTAGTTCCCTTAGTTCCTTAAAATAAGCTACTGTGCATTGCCACTACTGGGTGGTAACATCACAGACCTATGTGACACAAAACAGAACTAAGCTTTCTCTGTGGTGGTACCTATTCTCTGGGATTCTCCCACTGTTGAGAGGAACCAACTGTACTTCTGAGAGTTATTGGAAACACAACTCTTTGCTCAAATATTCCCTAACCTTTAGTGTGGATTCTACAGTCCATTGTTTTGATATCTGCTTTACTCTTTCTGATTTTTGCAATTTTGGACATGGTTTCAATGTACATTATAATTGATATTTATTTATTTATTTCAAAATAAAATAAGCTACTGTGCATGCCACTACTGGGTGGTAACATCACAGACCTTTTTATCTAAAACATGTTCAGTGCAACTCAGTATTTCCTTTCTAATCTGTCCAGTAAATGACGATTATTACTAATTTTTATATTAAAAACATTTCTTTGCTGCTTCTCTATCCAGCAGTCATTTGGGAAAAATGACTACCAAGTGGCATAGGAACTCTTACCAGTTATTTTCAAAAATCTTTGGGTCCGATTGAGATAAACACAACTGCTTTCTTTGAAAACCTGGCTACAGAAGGACAACTAAGTATTCCAGTTTTGTGTTTACTCTTTCTGTTTAAACTGTTACTGTTCTAATGCTGGAAAAGTTCTAGAAATAAGGTTCTCAAGGAAATACAGAATATAAATACAAATGTTACCTTTCATTAGAAGATAGGAATGTATTATACATACCTAACTTCATACAAATTTAGGAAACATTGGGAAATGTACTGAGACTTCAGAGTAAACATGTATGATTCTACTGTTAATTTTTAAAATGAAAAACATGTTGACTTTTTTTTTACTGAATTGTGCGAAGCACTGTTTAAAATATGTTGCAATATAAAATGTATCAAACAAGGACACAAGCACCAAGGTAAAATCTGCTAAAACAGGATAATTGAGAGCAACACGATTCATCCATGCATCAGAAGAGATGACACTTTTTTCATGTTGATTAAATTTCTAAGCATTGCTTTACAACTTCATTTGATTTGATTTTTAGTTTGCCTGCCTGGGCTAACTGGTCAAAATTACCAGGAAATTACATTTGTTTAACTATTCTCCTATCCCTTTTTAAAAATTTCACTCAGTGTCAAATCACATTAGATTAAATGTGTATTTTCTGCTATCTGCTGTCTTCTTGCCAGGCATGTCATTATTTCAAACCTACAAATGAAGCCAGTATTTATCTCCTGATGACCAGTCATGAAACATGTACAAGGTGATTTGCAAGCTCATGCTAGGAGAAACAGATGCCTTTTTGCTCTTGAGGATGCTCCATGACCTTGCTTCTGCCCTTGGTACTAGTGTCTTTCTGTGGCATGTCTTCTTTTCTTATAACTCCTTATGTAACATTTATATTATAGAAATGTAACTCTTCCATCCATTTGGTTACTTGAGTTTGCCTAACAAAGTTTTTGCAATATACTGTATACCAGTCATGCGCTTCTCAACTTCTGATAAATGCAGAACCTTCTTGATACAGACATATTAACGGTTTATTAAAAATTTAAATATATTAAAAAGCTTTAGGAAGAACTCAGATGATTGGTGGGTTTCACTGATGGCATTTTAAAGAAAGAGCTTTATTTCTTTCAAAGTGGCACATTTTACACACAATAAGTTACAGACTAACTCGGACATAAAGGAAAAACAATACATGTACTACTGCACAGGCTTGAAGTTGATTCAATTAGCTGACTCCTAAAAAGTAATGCCCCCCATTCCAAAAAATATTTCAAACAAATCTATTCCTTTAAAATCTTAACATCCCCCTCTTGTGTCCTGGAGAACACCTCATTAACTGGGAATTTGCTGTAGAGATAGGTATTTGCTGGCCAGTTCCCCTCCCACACACTGGTTTAGTGGTAAATTTAAAAGTATACTTATCATGGTGATTTCCACAGCCAACTCCCCATAGGATGAGTAAAAAACAAACAAAAAAGATAGAAAACTAGATTGGTCCATATCAACAAATGAGAAGCAGTAATGCCTCTCATTTGCCCATTCAGTATCAAACAATCCTCAAACACTTTGCATTACACCTTGAATAACTTGCAACAAGATATTGTTCCCAGAAAAACAGATTTTCCTAACAGCTACAGTGAGAACTGCAGCTCAGCTCAGAGGGAAAGGGAAAATCTGAGCAACATTAAAAGGTGATTGCTTGTTTACACATATTACATTAATAATACTAATACACACATTATTATATATGTTATTACAGTATATGCAAGCTAACATATACTGTGATTGAGCAAAAAAACAAGGATTGACAGGCAGAACAGGCTTCGGCTTCACTCGCTTCTTTAAAAAGTAATTTCATTTTGGTTTTAAAAAATAACATGTCTATTCTACATAGCAGCAAAAACCAGCTCTAGAACTATGTCTGAAACACACTGCAAAAACAAAAGCTATTAATGTGGCTACTACTACATTTCCACTCAGAAGTCCTACTAAGTGCAATAGTGTTTAATCCCTAGTAAATATTTTAGCTTATATTATGAGAATTAAAGCATTGTAAAGATTTGTATTACAATGGTTATACAAACTGCAGGATTTGGCCTTTCTTGACAAAGAATGAGAGTGACCTTGGTGCAGAGGTTTTTGTTTTGTTTTGTTTTATTGGGGAACACATTCTGTTGAATACATTACTGTGTTGTTATATTCGGGCAAGGAACTGTGCATTCATCTCATCTACCCCAAAAGCTGCATCAATGTGTTCTGGTGACTGTTTTGTTATTTATAGGGACTGCATACATGGCCCAGATCAGCCATCTCAGCTTCCTGGAGCAAACAACCGTATGACACACATGGTAGTCAACCTCCATTAAATGTGTGTTAGAATAGTGGTTCTCAACCTTAGGTAACCCAGGTGTTCTTGGACTGCAACTCCCAGAAGCCTTCACCACCTGCTGTGCTGGCCAGAGTGTCTGGTAGTTGTAGTCCAAGAACACCTGGGTAACCCAAGGTCGAGAACCACAGTGTTAGAACATAAGAAGCAACCTTTTAAAAGGTCTGAGTATCTGTAGTCATAGCCTAATATTGTCCCTCTGTAGCTAACAACAGATTCCTATAATTTCAGACAGAAGCCTCTCCTGCCTCCTGTTACTTGATCTTTGCTTATTTAACAAAAATGCTGATGATTCAAGGTGGGACCGTCTGCATACAAAGCCTAAGTTCTAACACTGAGTTCTGATTGCTCTCTGGTAAGTTCATGTGCTGCTTTGTTTTAACTGCACATTTAAGTTCATAATGTGTGACCATGTGATTTCTCAATACATACACATACACAAATGATCAAAAACTAGTATATATGACCCTTCTACAGTACCAAGTAATATGAGCTGTGCAGTAGAGATGCTAACAGGCTGAATCAGGAAGTCCTTAATTTGAATCCTGCCTCAGCTATGATCTCATTAAGTGGCATTAGGCAAAATCACTCTGAGACCACTTTCTGGCTAATAAGTGGAGTAATCAAACTTTTGGACTTGACAGACTTTTCCTAATAACTAACAAAAGCATATGTAAAGTGCTGCAGTGCACTTTACATATTTTTTTCAGGCATGAAGAATTTAAAAAAATGTATGTTTTAGTCTTTCATATTCTACAGAAAGAATTTATTTACCCCAGGCCTAAAATTCTCTGTCAAAAAGTCACAAAGCTGGATTTTGACCCTTGCTCCAAACTGTGTTTTTGTTTTTTAAAGGAAGGCTGAAAGAAACCCCTATCACTTCACAACCAAAGAGGTGATAATACCCCTATAATACTGTACAACTTTGCGAATGTACTCCCCCCTCGCGCGCCTTCCCAAAGTAAATAGCAGCAGTCTGCAGCATGCAAGGGCAAAACTGACCTGCTTGGACACACCATGATGCATTCACACGACTGGCTCATGCCATAGGCATTCAACATGCTTAGAATGCCCATGAAGGAAAGGAGTCAGCCTGCTGTCTAGTTTGTGCCGATAACACCTGCCGTTACACTACCTGGACAGCTAAGTAAGTGGCCAAGCTGGAAACGGAGGGAAAATGCCAGCCGACATCCAGCTGCCAGCAAAGATGACAAAGTGCCCTGGAGTATGTCACAATTTTTAAAAGAACCACATCACCTGCCCTCAACGAGGCACCGAAAGAGACAGGCACAGAGACGGGTCAGAGACCCTTACCGGTATAAGATACTGTAAAGGAAAGGCGTCTGATTCATAAAAGCCTGGCCATACACTTTTTCAGAAAGCAGCATCATGGCTTTAAAAGTGCTTTCTGACAGATGCCCAGAGATGCCCTGGTCATCGGGGCCAATGGGCTCAAGCTTAGCCTCCGATCGGCTACTAGGGCGCGCACGATCCCTTTCCCCCTATGCTGGCAACCGCTCCCCGCGCTGCTCACCATGCGGATCTGGGTACTGATGAGAACGTACGGCATGATCCCCTCCGCGCCCGCTGGAACCCCCCAAGGTGGCGACGGCTCCGGCGCCTTCTGTTTCCCCCTGTTTTCAGCCCACACGTGACATCCTACCAATGCGGGGTTAACGCCTTTCCCCGGAGTAGCCAATCGACGGGGCCGCTGGCCAAGGGTGGCGCTCTGGCGGAAGTCCTGGCCGCAGGGCAGGCGGGCGGACGGGCAGGCAGGCAGTCTGTTCGTTGCGGTTCGGTGTGGGTGGGTCAGAAGGGAAGAGAAGGTGGGTCGATTCTTTTAGATAGGCAGATATGGCCCTTATTGCCCCGGCTCCCAAAACACCTGAAACCCCCGATTGGATGAGGAGGATTCTGTAGGAAAACCCACTGAGGCGTTCCTAAACGAAGTGCAGGAAAGGAGAGGAGAGGGCAGAACAGTGGGAAGTAAATACTACCTTTAATAAATACGTTAAGAGACAAGTGTGATGTACCCGGTAGAAGGATAGACTACCTAGCAGACCTTGGTTCAGTTCCCCGCTTGGCCTTGGAAACTTAAAAGAGAGGAGTTCTGGTAAAACCACTCATTAGATATAGTATTTCACATACTTTGAAACCCCTGCTAGGATCAACTGTAATTCACATGCAACTTGAGGACACTTAACAGCGATAAACAAGCAATCAGTGTCCGGGGATTGTCTCTTGTTGCCATAAATGGGTGCAATATGGGCTTGGACTTTGCATGCCAAAATTTTAATGTTTTTAAGGTATTTTTAAAAAAATGTTTTTCAAGAATTTTATCAGAAATTGTATAAAGGAAACAATGTACTGAAAGATGATATAGAAAATTATATAAATGAGAATTTAAAAACTAAATTATTGGAATGGGATAAAAGAATATTAGAAGAAGAGATTAAAGAAGAAGAAATTGCTGAAGTCATTAATAAACTGAGAAATGGTAAAACACCAGGCCCTGATGGATTGGATCCAGAATATTATAAACATCTTAGTTTCATTTGATACCTAAGCTAAAAATGTTTTATAATAAAATATTGGAAGGAGATAAAATGCCACCTTTTTGGAAACACTCATTAACAATTCTTATTCCAGAACCCAACAAGGATCTAACAGATCTGGGATCCTATAGACCTATATCTCTATTAAATCAAGATGCTAGGATTTTTACTGCTATATTAGCAAACAGATTTACAGTGGTGCCCCGCACAGCAAGGTTAATCCGTTCCGGATTAACCTTCGCTGTGGGAAACATCGCACTACGGAACACAAAAAGGCATTGGAACGCATTAAACAGCGTTTAATGCGTTCCAACTCTTTCATGGATTGCTGCCTTGTCGTGGCGAAGGGGCTTGAGTAACTCAGAGAAGCTATGGGCTATGCCGTGCAGGGACACCCAAGACGGACAGGACATAGTGGAGAGTTCCGACTAAACGCAATCCACCTGGAGTAGGAAATGGCAAGCCACTCCAGTATCTTTGCCAAGAACACCCCATGATCAGAAACAAAAGGCTAAAAGATATGACGCTGGAAGATGGGCCCCTCAGGTCGGAAGGCGTCCAACATGCTACTGAGGAAGAG